TAGGTTGTCTCTCAGAGGTGAAGACGGCTTTAGGTTCGAATCTCCAACAGACTGGGCTCAAGTCTCTCCACCAACCTCTTAATATTATGGTTTTATCGGAGTTGGACGTTAGACTGGGAGATTCGGCCTCTTCACTAACCTTGAAGTGTTTGTGGGGCCGATAACTCCCCCCGACATCCTGACTTATCGCAGATGGTCAGCTGGTAAGTCTCTGCTGACCCCTGGTTGGTTACGCTTCGGATGACTGCCGTCTGTGTGCAGGGGTTAGGAACTTCACTGTTGCCTGCAGGAGTTCGATTCTTGGCTGGGGAAACATTTTTGATCGAGTATCCCGCACGGTCTTTCTGCAGGGGTGTTATGTCCTTTTCACCCCTGCTTAGTCCTGATAGACAGGGTTGGAAGCCCGCCTCCTAATTGATTTAATAAATTGTGTCGATGAGGGCGTAAAAAACACGTACATAAAAAAACACGCTTTTGTTTAGATTGTTCGCGATGTCATCATTTGAGTCAAAACAGTTAACAGTAGCTCTAGTTTTCTGTAAACAGCGACGATACTCACCCGTCTGTTTGGACTGTATTTCATAGGCGTGCGTTATTGTTTTTAGACCCGCTTTAGGCTAACATCAAAGAAATCGTGTCGGAACCTCAGTTTGCAGGGACCTAAACTATGTGCTTCTGGACTATGTTGGCCCTCCAGCTTTTAGACCCGCAAGCAAAAACCCGAGAAGATTAAACAAAACGATTTGCTTTATCTTGTTTTAACAAGCTCTATGTTGTTACGATGTTTCCGACTTTTAAAGTGATCAAGCTATGGTTTGTTACAGCGTTTTCCTAAAGCCCCCAACGATACAATGTAGATTACTTAAGCAACGGGTTTCAGAACATACTGTCAGGGCCAACCCGGGCTGAGAGGGATACAACAACGCAGAGGAAAAATTACAATACGCTTGATAAAAATGTCTCACCACTCAGGAATCGAACTCTGGTCTGTTGCGTACGACAGCGAAGCGCCAAACCGCTACACCACAGACACCAATGTGTATTTCTTCACGATCCCCCTGTCTGTCTGTCTGTCTGTCTGTCCGTCTGTCCGTCTGTCCGTCTGTCTGTCTGTCTGTCTGTCTGTCTGTCTGTCTGTCTGTCTGTCTGTCTGTCTGCACAAAATAGCACTCGTATGCCAAAATGTACATCAGTTTTTTCCGACTCAACTCGACAGAACCAAACAAAATACACAAGATACACATGGACATACAGAGAAACAAACAAATTACACATGAAAAAAGAAAAACAAACAAAATAAAGATGGAAATAAAGAGAAACAAACAAAACGTACATGGAAATAAAGAACAACAAACAAAACACCCATGGGAATATAGAAAAACAAACAAAATACATGTAAATAAAGAACAACAAATAAAACACACTCGGAAACAAAAGAAAGAAACACAAAATACCGATGGATTTTAACAAAATACACAAGGGAATTAAGAGAAAAACAAACAAAATACACATGGGAATAAAGAACAACAAACAAGGGCATAAAGAAAAGCAAACGTGGGAATAAAGAACAACAAACAAGGGCATAAAGAAAAGCAAACGTGGGAATAAAGAACAACAAACGTGGGAATAAAGAACAAAAAACATAGGAATAAAAAACAACAAACACGAGAATAAAGAATGGGAATAAAGAACAACAAACATGAGAATAAAGAATGGGAATAAAGAACAACAAACATGGGAATAAAGAACAACAAACTTAGGAATAAAGAACAAAAAACATAGGAATAAAAAACAACAAACATGAGAATAAAGAATAACAAACATGAGAATATAGAACAACAAACACGAGAATAAAGAATGGGAATAAAGAACAACAAACATGGGAATAAAGAACAACAAACATGGGAATAAAGAATTTGAATTTATAAAGAACAACAAACTTGGGAATAAAGAATGGGAATAAAGAACAACAAACGTGGAAATAAAGAAAGGTGATAAAGAACAATAAATATGAGAATAAAGAACAACAAACATGAGAATAAAGAACAACAAACATAGGAATAAAGAATGGGAATAAAGAAAGACAAACGTAGGAATAGAAAACAGTAAAAACATAGGAATAAAGAACAACATCAAACGTGGGAGTAAAGAACAACAAACAGTGGCGGCGCATTTTGGAAAGATGAAGTGAGAAGAATTTATTTGTTTCTACTCTAGGACAAGCTCTCGGCCACTTGTGGCCACAGGGATAGCAGATCTGGTTAGGTTATCCACTTCATTCACAGAGGTACATATCGGCGGCAACATGTTCAAATCGTCGCGGTCGCAAGCAATCCACCTGTCTAAATTTTGAGAATTTTTAAACCCTCCGAAAGCTCTATCAAAGACCAACATCACCAAATTGTAATTGAATGCTAAGGTGAAGACTTATGGTATTTTCTCGCTTTTCGTGATTCCTGATACGAATAACAAAACAAAAACTAGTTATTGTTTGTCTCTGGTGTAAAAGTACTCAAAACGGACTTAAAGTGGAATGCTTTTGACACCGACAGAATGTACAAAGCCCGGAGAAGAAAAAATCCTGTTTCATTCCCTTAGAAATTTTCTCCTACATTATGTCATAAATCATTTCATGCTATTCTGAAAACATTTAGAATTTTTAATTTGACAAAATATTTCTTGAGCACAAATAGAAGAAAAATAAATAAATAAATGAATGAATAAATAAATAAATAAACGAGTTATGCCATCGATGCCCCATATTTAGAAACTGCAATTTAAAAAACATTTTTAACATAAAAATTGTGGGCTTTGTACGAGTGATCAGCTGGCCGACATTTATTATTCGTATATTATTTTAATACACCGCCTCGTGCAGCCTGACAGACAGATATTACACACTGACGCACAAACAAACAAACAGTCTGACAAACAGATATAACACACTGACGTACAAACAGTCTGACTGACAGACATAACACACTGACGCGCACACAGCAGATTTTCTACTCCCGTACTCATGAGACTTTCACCTGACGTTCATTCTATTACTCAGTTGTCGGACAGGGATCTCTCTCTCTCTCTCTCTCTCTCTCTCTC